AATTCAGCCGTGCTATCAATCCAGAGGGGGAGAGATAGTGGGGGACGTTTTCTGAAGTCTGAACTCAAGTTAAAAACTCCTCCAGCACTTTCTCCCTAGTGTAGACAACAAATGACTGGCCTTAGCCATGGGAGCAGGTAAAGTATCAGCTCTCCGTACCCCGAATTGTAACCATAACCTTCGGAGCTCAAACACACTCACTGGGACCTAGGGGCTAGTGTGAAAAGACAACCTCCACACAAACCATTGTTTACTTCTGTTTCTCTGGTTGTATTGACTGCTACTGACCCACTTTTTCGATTCGCCCCTTTAATAACTGAGTCTTCTCCTATTGAAAACAGATTTTGACCTAGTCCAAAAAAAGTATAATTGGACAGAGGACGATTCATACACCACTATCCATGCCCATGAACAAGAGCTTTAAAAAATGTTTGGTACCCCACAACTAAAGATTTGGGTAGAACCAAAAAAGTATTCCCATGACAATGCAAACACAGGAACAAGTGTCTATGAATCTGCCAAGCTCCTTAGAGATCTACTGACATATAAAAGATTCACGTTTGGAGGTTGAGTGTTGTTGACCTAGATAATTAGGGTTATTTGTGTAATGAGTTAGAGATAGCAGTCCCCCTTCCTCCCATGGGAAATGTCATGAAATGGAATATTGCTAGATTGTTTATGTTTTTGTTGGTGAGTATCCCTGTCAAATATTTACTTTAATGACACTTGCTCTATGCACTGTATTATACAATAGCTTAGACCTATTTTAGTAATTGTAGTGCTAGTGGCTAGTTGTATCAGTTAATTTAAGAATGTATTTTGTAGTGCACTGTATAGGAAATAGGATGCCATTTGGGACATAACCATAGCTTCACCAAAGGGACATTTCATTATTTACGATTCAGACTTTTTCTCATCGTTAAAAAGGAAATAGATGGTAATCAGTGTGTTTATCAATATCAATCCATGCCATGGGCAGGGTAAAGTGGAGAGATGTACCATCGCTCGGTTTGTCCAGGAATTTGTTGTTGTTCTATTGATATATTGGTACAAACGAACACTTAGGGTCACAGCCAGTAAAGGACATTTAATTGAGAGTGAATTATCTCAAACTGCTTTGAAAAAAGAAATGATAGTTTCAAATAGGCCTAGAGAATTTGTGTTTTCTCCATGGTTTAAAGTTTACACATTTTTACCAGGTAAGTTGACTGAGAACACATTCTCATTTACAGCGACGACCTGGGGAATAGGTACAGGGGAGGGTAGGGGGGATGAATGAGCCAATTAGAAGCTAGGGATGATTAGTTGGCCATGATGGTCAGATTGGGAATTTAGCCAGGACACCGGGGTTAACACCCCTACTCTTATGATAAATGCCATGGGATCGTTAGTGACCACAGAGAGTCAGGACACCCATTTAACGTCCCATCCGAAAGACAGCACCCTATACAGGGCAATGTTCCCAATCACTGCCCTGGGGCTTTGGGATATTATTTGTTTTGACCAGAGGAAAGAGTGCCTCCTACTGGCCCTCCAACACCACTTCCAGCAGCATCTGGTCTCCTATCCAGGGACCGGCCAAAACCAACCCTGCTAAGCTTCAGAGGCAAGCCAGCAGTGGGATGCAGGGGGGTATGCTGCTGGCAAAGTGGGTAGGAGACCTTTCATGTGGTTCTGCAAATACACCAGAAGTCACTGTCATTATTTTAAATATCTCTCGTCCTGCCATATATCCTGTTCAAAGAAATGGCATTGAAATATGATTATAACCATTATTTGCAGTAGTATGGATTAGAAGGTCCTGTGTAGATTGTATTTTCAACCAGCAACTATCAGGAAATAACACTGATCACATTTCTTCACACTTTTACAGTGTTAGTTTCATCAGCTGTTGTCCAAAATGATATCAAACACAGGAAAAACATCATATTTACTGCACTGGGCCTTTAACATGTGTGCTTAATCAACATGGGCTGAGTATTGCACAGATGGATCTCACTTTTTGTGAGTGCAGTTTTGTTGGTTGGTAGTTAATCCAAACTACACTATACAGTGCATTCGGAAAGTATTCAGACCCCTTCCCTTTTTCCACATTTTGTTACGTTACAGCCTTATTCTAAAATGGATTAAATAAACATTTCCCTCATCAATCTACACACAATACCCCGTAATGACAAAGTGAAAACAGGTTTTTAGAAATGTTTGATTTGGAAAGGCACACACCTGTCTATATAAGGTCCCACAGTTGACAGTGCATGTCAGAGCAAAAACCAAGCCATGAGGTCGAAGGAATTGTCTGTAGAGCTCCGAGACAGGATTGTGTCGAGGCACAGATCTGGTGGCGGGTACCAAAACATTTCTGCAGCATTGAAGGTCCCCAAGAACACAGTGGCCTCCATCATTCTTAAATGGAAAAAGTTTGGAAGCACCTAGACTCTTCCTAGAACTGGCCGCCCGGCCAAACTGAGCAATCGGGGGGGGAAGGCCCTTGGTCAGGGAGGTGACCAAGAACCCGATAGTCACTCTGACAGAGATCCAGAGTTCCTCTGTGGAGATGGGAGAACCTGCCAGAAGGACAACCATTTCTGCAGCACTCCATCAATCAGGCCTTTATGATAGAGTGGCCAGACGGAAGCCACTCCTCAGTAAAATACACATGACAGCCCACTTGGAGTTTGCCAAAAGGCACCTAAAGGACTCTCAGACCATGAGAAACAAGATTCTCTGGTCTGATGAAACCAAGATTGAACTCTTTGGCCTGAATGCCAAGCGTCACGTCTGGAGGAAAGTTGGCACCATCCCTACGGTGAAGCATGGTGATGGCAGCATCATGCTGTGGGGATGTTTTTCAGCGGCAGGGACTAGGAGACTAGTCAGGATCGAGGTAAAGATGAACGGAGCAAAGTACAGCGAGATCCTTGATGAAAACCTGCTCCAGAGTGCTCAGGACCTCAGACTGGGGCGATGGTTCACCTTCCAACAGGACAACAACCCTAAGCACACAGCCAAGACAACGCAGGGGTGGCTTCGGGACAAGTCTCTAAATGTCCTTAGTGGCCCAGCCAGAGCCCGAACTTGAACCCGATCGAACATTTCTGGAGAGTCCTGAAAATAGCTGTGCAGCGACGCTCCCCATCCAACCTGACAGAGCTTGAGAGGATCTGCAGAGAATAATGAGAGAAACTCCCCAAATACAGGTGTGCCAAACTTGTAGCGTCATAGACTCAAGACTGTAATCGCTGAAGACTCAAGACCAAGAAGACTCAAGACTGTAATCGCTGCCAATGGTGCTTCAACAAAGTACTGAGTAAATGGTCTGAATACTTATGTAAATGTTATATCAGTTTTTTATTTTTAATACATTTGCAAAAAAATCTAAAAACCTGTTATTATGGGAAATTATGTGTAGGTTGATGAGAAAACCCCCCAGATTTAATCAATTTTAGAATAAGGCTGTAACGTAACAAAATGTGGAAAAAGTCAAGGGGTCTGAATACTTTCCGAATGCACTGTATATACAAAAGTATGTGGACACTCCTTCAAATTAAGGGATTTGGCTATTTCAGCCACACCCGTTGCTGACTGGTGTATAAAATCGAGCACACAGCCATGCAATCTCCACAGACAAATATTGGCAGTAGAATGGCCTTACTGAAGAGCTCAGTGACTTTCAATGTCGCACCGTCATAGGATGCCACCTTTCCAACAAGTCAGTTCGTCACATTTCTGCCATTCTAGAGCTGCCCAGGTCAACTGTAAGGGCTGTTATTTTAAAGTGGAAATGTCTAGGAGCAACAACGGCTCAGCCGCGAAGTGGTAGGCCACACAAGCTCACAGAACAGGACCGCCGAGTGCTGAAGCGCATTGCAACGCTCACTACCGAGTTCCAAACTGCCTCTGGAAGCGCAAAAACTGTTTGTCGGGAGCTTCATGAAATGTGTTTCCATTGCCGAGCAGCCGCACACAAGCCTAAGATCACCATGCACAATATCAAGTGTCGGCTGGAGTGGTGTAAAGCTCGCCACCATTGGGCTCGCGATCTCTGGAGTGATGAATTACGCTTCACCGTCTGGCAGTCTGACAAATCTGGGTTTGGTGGATGCCACGAGAACTGTACCTGCCCGAATGCATAGTGCCAACTGTAAAGTTTGGTGGAGGAGGAATAATGGTCTGGGGCTGTTATTCATGGTTCGGGCTAGGCCCCTTAGTTCCAGTGAAGGGAAATCTTAACGCTACAGCAAAAAATTACATTCTAGACGATTCTGTGCTTCAAACTTTGTGGCAACAGTTTGGGGAAGGCCCTTTCCTGTTTCAGCATGAAAATGCCCCCGTACACAAAGCGAGGTCCATACAGAAATGGTTTGTCTAGATCGGTGTGGAAGAACTTGACTGGCCTGCACGGAACCCTGACCTCAACTCCATCGAACACCTTTGGGATGAATTGGAACGCCGACTGCGGGCCTAATCGCCCAACATCAGCGCCCAACCTCACTAATGCTATTGTGGCAGAATAGAAGCAAGTCCCCGCAGCAATGTTCCAACATCTAGTGGAAAGCCTTCCCAGAAGAGTGGAGGCTGTTATAGCAGCAAAGGGGGACCATATTAATGCCCATGATTTTGGAATGAGATGTTCGACGAGCAGGTGTCCACATACCTTTAGTCAGGTGGTGTATATTATTCCATTGTTCATGTTTTTGAGGTCATTAAGTCTTTGTAAACAAACAATGTATATCTTCAAAATATGTTTGATCAAATGCAGCCTTCTTCAAACCTGTCCTCTGCCGTTCCATGTAGTTGAACAATTCCAGAGATAGCACACCTAATTCAACTTGTCAACTAATTATCAAGCCCTTGACTAGGTGAATCAGGTGTGCTAGTTTAGCATTACAACACATTTGTGAAAAAGAGAGATGTGAAAAGCACTGCTGTAGTGGACTATGATTCTGTGCATCCATAGCTGTCCAGAAATCTGGTTGTGCTTCTCCAGCTCTAACCCACACATGTCCCTCTGTCCCCCCCTGCAGGGGAAGCTGGTGAAGTACTTCAGTCGCCAGCTGTCCTGTAAGGTGAGAGTGGCCTCACAGGAGAACAGTACTGAGCTACAGGACTTCCCCAGACTGGGACACTGGTTCCGCATTGTCAACCTGAGGAAGGAGGTCACTGAGGTACATTGATTTACATCTACGTATCACTGTCATAGTGTAGTAATGATAGTAATACCTTCTTACAAAGGTCCTCCCGAGGTCCTCCCGAGTGGCGCAGTGGTCTAAGGCACTGCATCGCAGTGCTAGCTGTGCCACTAGAGATCCTGGTTCGAATCCAGGCTCTGTCGTAGCCGGCCGCGACCGGGAGACCCATGTGGCGGTGCACAATTGTCCAGGGTAGGGGAGGGAATGGCTGGCAGGGATGTAGCTCAGTTGGCAGAGCATGGCATTTGCAACGCCAGGGTTGTGGGTTCGATTCCAGTATGAAAAAAAAAAATTGTATGCACTCACTAACTGTAAGTCGCTCTGGATAAGAGCGTCTGCTAAATGACTTAAATGTAAATGTACAAATAGCCGATGGTCTGCAAAATTTGTTCTAGTAAGAGTAATAAAATAGTTCTGTTTTTAGTATTGAAATCCCTCTGGCAGTAGGATGAAAGACACTATAAGGGGTCTGGGCCAGGGGTGTTACCCTGGTAGTGTAGCCAATGTGAAATGGCTAGCTAGTGCTCTATGCAAGACAGAGGCTGAAACATTACCTTTTTCAGAATAATTTCCCACATAGTGTGCGTTTCCATCATGTGCCACAGTCAGCAGCATACCACCCTGCATCCCACTGCTGGCTTGCTTCTGAAGCTAACCAGGGTTGGTCCTGATCGGTCTTTGGATGGGAGATCAGATTCTGCTGGAAGTAGCATGGAGCCTATTCTAAACACTGAATAAAACATAGGCCTATTTAGGACTAGGCTCAGATGTCTTTCGCTTCTCTTCATGAGGATTGAATGGATCTAAATAAATAGCTGCTATAGGCCCTGCATTCAGGTAGGCTGCCACCAACAAGGCTGCTTGTTGTCATAAATGCAACATATCTATACAGGACACTCCTATATGGGAAAAAAAATCAAACTGATGTATTAAAATAATTTTAAATAAATGTTGAGGTGCAACATGGTAATGTCAGGAATATGACACAAATATGTCAGGTATAACAGAAGGCTTTAACCACTTGATCAATCGATTCAAGTTGGGACTTCAGCAATATAATAATCAAGACTTGATTTGACAAAGGAGAAAGATCCCAGGAAAATGGACTGGTGCCCAAAGAGGTAGGCTAGGACATGCTCTGAATTTAAATTCACATATAAGCGACGGTACTTAACTCTTCTGAGTTGGCTAGAACTAAATTCACCTTAGAGGTGCGCACTAGTAGCATTTAATCAGTGACGTCACCCGCTCCGAGACCTTGACGTAGCTGTTTCCCTTGCTCAGCAAGATGTGTTCAGAGGGTCTCTGGTTTGAGCCTAGGTTGGGGCAAGGAGAGGGACGGAAGCAACACTGTTAGAGTAGGAATGGAGTCACTCAGTGTCAGTGGGTCTAGACCAGGGTCTGTATTCACGAAGTGTCTTATGGTAGGAGTGCTGATATAGGATCAAGGTCTTCCCTGTCCATATAATCATAATAATTTTGATCTAAAAGGCAAACCTGGTCTTATATCAGCATTCTCTGATACTCTTTGTAAATAGGGGCCCATTCTCATTTGCTTTTAACAGTACCAAGAATTAGAACAGGTCATGGTAGAAATCGTTTTAGTTACTCAGCTCCGTGGTCCTGGAATTCTCTCTTGAACATTTTAAAATCTGATGATCTAGTTACGTTGGTGGAGTTTAAACACTTGGTTGATGTAAATATCATAGAAGAGTGTAATTGTCTTTAGGACCGCTGTTTTTTTTTTGTTATGACATTTGTGTTTCTTTACGTAATATGTAATTGTTGTACTGTATGTGTGCCTATAGTTTTGTTCAATGTTGTGTTAGTGTATGTAAGTAGTTTTGTCTGAAACTTTGTGCCCACTGCTGCTGTTGGACAAGGTCTCTCTTGAAAAATAGATTTTATCTCAATGAGAAAAACCTGTATAAATAAAGGTAAAAATAAATCAATAAAAAGGAGTGTTAAACTCAATTCCTGGAAGACCACAAAGTCTGCTGGTTTTCATTCTTCCCTTTAAATTAGTGTCTGATTTAGACCTGGGAAACCAGGTGTGCTGACTCCCTGTGTGGGCGAAATTAAAACTTGCAGTCGCTATTGCCCGCAAGAGCTGGAATTTGACTTACAGTACTTGAGTGTTAGCCTGGGTGCCAGTCTGTTTCTGCTCATTTGCCAGCTCCTTATGGAATTGTCAATGACAATGGAGTAGGCAAAAGCACTGGGACCAGGCTACTTGTGTGTGTGTGTTCTGTAGGAGATGGGTCCGGGCGATGTGACTCTGGAGGGGCTGCTGGAGATGAGTGATGAGCAGGTGTGTGAGGCCATGGAGAAGTTTGGAGCCAACGACGAGGAGTGTGCCCGGCTCAACGCCTCTCTGTCCTGCCTCAGGAAGGCCCACAAGTCAGGTAGGAACCCTACACACACGGAGGGAGGGGGAGAAGGAGAGAGGGAGGAGAGAGGGAGGAAAGGCAGACAGTGTAGGGCCGTAACACATGCCATCTCTGGGGAAGGGAGAGAGAGAGGGAGGGAGGGAGAGAGGGAGGGAGGGAGGGAGGGAGGGAGAGAGAGAGAGAGAGAGAGAGAGAGGGAGGGAGGGAGGGAGGGAGGGAGGGAGGGAGGGAGAGAGGGAGGGAGGGAGAGAGGGAGGTAGGGCACTCTGGAATGTAACCGTGACTCTTTTCCAGGTTGTTATTGCCTTAGCAAGGCTACAAGCGAAACATATGTATGTATCTCGTGAGATCAGGATGGTAGTACGAGGCTATCTATACAGTTCATGAGGAGTTTTCATAAACTGGTGAATGTCACCCTCTGTTGACCGGATTTTGCAACACATGAATTCAGTAGGATGCAGTCTCAGAAATGTGCCTTCAGTCTGGAAACTGTCAAATAAAACATTTAGAAGTTGGTCATTGTTTGATATGGGGATATTATGCATTTGTTCACAATGAGGGCTGGAGTTTACAATGACTGGTGGGATTGAATCTGTTGATTCTGCTAGTTTATTCTGTTGTGTTAGTGCTGGGCTAGGGCAAAAGCCTGCACACCTTGTGGGTCTCCAGGACCAGGTTCAAAGAATACAAGGCTTGATTTGTGCTATTTTGCCCAGAATAGAACAGAAACTGTTTTCACAGGGACATATCTAGGGTTTAAATGATCGATATTGAGTAATTATTAACTCCTATATTTGATTAATTAAGATGTAGTCTCTCTGCGCCTGTTTACTGTAACAACTACAGCTATGTCAACCCCTTATCTGTGACTGTGTGAAAATTCTCACAGTAGTCTAGTCTCCTCATTCCTCTCCATGGGTGTACCTCAATTGTTAAAAGGCTCTCCTTGCCTCCTTTCCTTCATCTCATTTACATTCTTTTTTTAAATTTTTTTGTCATTTAGCAGACGCTCTTATCCAGAGCGACTTTAAACACTGTTGTAAAAGAATCAGACAGGTGAAACAGTTTGCTTTCACCTGTCCAGTGTTTTCAGATTAGCATAGATGAAGGGTGGATAGGAGGAGAGGAGGCTGCTGTAGACCAGTGGTTCCCAACCAGGGTTACTAGGACCCTTGGGGGTACTTGGCCTATCCATAGGGGGTACTTGGCCTATCCATAGGGGGTACTTGGCCTATCCATAGGGGGTACTTGGCCTATCCATAGGGGGTACTTGAGAAGATTCATGAGACCATAGGCCTACTGGTAAAATGCACGAGGGGATACTTCAGCGGTACTCTGGGCAGAGCAAAATGTAGTTGGCGGTACAGTAACCGAGAAAGGTTGGGAACCACTGCTGTAGATTATTGAGATGCACCCTCCGAGCACACAGAGCATTTAGTCCAATGCCATTTTGTCCAATAGAGGGCAGCACAGACCACATGTTTATTTTCTGAACTGAACAGCATAGTGTTGTAGTGTTGCGGGCTGAACAGATGGGGGCACTAGACCATCAGGAAACCAGCACTATCACTAGGTTTGATAACAAGGTTTGATAACCTGTCATTTGATGCTTGCGTGTTCCTCCTACACACACACACATACACATACACACACCTAACCTTTTTATTTAATACCCACCAGATGTGTCTCTCAGATGAGTCACTGGGAATACTTTAGGACATGTTATCAAGCCAAGTTGAGAAGAGTTGTATTGTCACTGCAGTGTTCTCCTCATTAAAACCATAGTACACAGACCGTTTTCTTTTCTCCAAATGAAAAAACCTTCAGGATAACCTGGTCATGTACCAAACTGTTGTCAGATAACACAACGCCTCATCGGCCCAAATGCTCATCATCGACTCACTTCCCTTCACTCCTTTGATTCTACACACAGCTAACTCCAGTAATAATAAAAAAGAATGAATTGGATTTATATAGCACATTTTTACCAACAGAGGTACACAAAGGGCTTTACATAGTAAAGGGGAAACTCACCTCATCCACCACTAATGTGTGGAACCCGCTTGGGTAATGCACGGCAACCATTTTTTGTGCCAGAACGCTCAGCTAGCATGGTGTAGTGGTAAGGAGTGAAATATGCCAATTAGAAATGATGGTAAGATTAGGTGGCCATGATGGAATGGGGCCAGGTCACCGGGGTTAACACCCCTACTTTTGCGATAAGTGCCATGAGATTTTTAACGACCACAGAGAGTCAGGACATCCGTTTAACGTCCCATCCTTGCTACGCAGGGCAGTAGGCAGGTTCATTGTAACCTGTGGGTGTTGAATAGGCTCTGGGCTGGGGTGAGATAGTGGCTGGATACACACACACATACACACACCACACACACACACTGGTCTGACCTGGTTTGTGTGTCTGTTCCTGAGGCATGATTAGATTGTAGCCGGTAGCTGATTGGCGGCTGAGCTCTGACTTCCTCCACAGGAGCCGGCCAGGCGGTTGGACGCCCATACAGGGTCCAGCTGGGTGTGTGTGTTCTTGTGTTTGTCCTTGTGTGTCTGTGTGTTTGTCTGTCTTTGTCTCTCTCTCTCTCTCTCTCTCTCTCTCACTCTCTCTCTCTCTCTCTCTCTCTCCTCTCTCTCTCTCCCTCTCTCTCTCCTCCTCTCTCTCTCTCTCTCTCTCTCGTCTCTTCTCCTCTCTCTCTCTCTCTCTCTCTCTTCTCTCTCCTCTGTGTGTGTGTGTGGAGGGATGCGTGTTTGTGCGTCTAACTCTTGGTTTCAATCAAGCCTAATAGACTACCACACATAGGCTAGGCGTACACATGAAACAGATCCAACCCAGCCCAACTCACCCCAACTATACATTATATAGCAACACACCCCATGGATAACTAAGAGCTGTTGATCTGTATTGTACAGACGGTTCCATTAGAAACTGCTGCTACTGCTGCTGTGCTTGTTCTCCAGTCCTCCTGGTTCACACAGGCAGCAAAGGGGCTAAGACACACACACTCGTAAGGGCACACACACACACACACACACACTAATGGGCTCTTTTCAAACGGGTGGCTGGGAAGAGGTGTGAATGTAATAGCAACACCACACTCTGCACTGCTGCTATAAGAGCCACTCATACTCCCAGCCTCAGCCCTTTCTTTAAACCTAAAGGGAAAGAAAATGACCACGCTCAGCCCTCACTTTTAAATATTACATTTGTTGTATGTTTTTAAATGATCTGAGAGGAACGTGGCACGTTGGGAGGATTCGTCATTGTCCGCAATGGAAGCCTGTCTTTGTAACTCCTACGCAGAACATGAATACGCAGAATATTCTCTTGCCTCGAATCACATGAAAAAGTAATAATTGTCACATTATTTTGTAATGACTCTTAAGGCCATCGCAGACTTTGTTGGCCAGCACTTCTGTGACTAATAAAAACTTAGTTGTGTACAGGATTTGTAACCTCACTTGGACTCCTCAGTTTGAAATGTCTCCACCCGCACAGCCGAATTGCTAGCCTTTTGGTGGCGTAGCTGGTTAAGATGTTTTCAAAGGGGTGGTAAAGTCCCACGTCATTTCAACGTGGCTAAGTGGGTCATATTTAGTTGAGACTTTGATCAATGAGATTACAACCGATATTCACCCACTGAAAAAGACTGCCAAAAGTTAGATGAATGTCCAATGTGTTATCACTATGCTTTCAACCATGTAAAAGCAAAACCAAATTCCATTGGAAAAACAATGTAAGATTTTTGGTTTAGTTGTCACCCAAATATCTATCACTGAGCATTCAACCATTTAAAAGCACAGCAAAGTTCAAATGTTCAGATATTTTATTTATTTATACAACAACTTAATGTGTTATCACTGTGCTTCATCTAATAGCAGAACCAAATAACCTGGATTGTAGTTGAGATTACTTTAAAAGTACATGGTGCAAGTGATCAATGCCATAAGAGATTCTGCGCAGATTATTACAGTAATTGTGAAGATCTCCACTGACCTGCGCTTTATATGATTAGATAAGAAGAAATGTAGTTAAAGTAACCTCAAAATGTGGCCGTGGATGTGTTACTCATTTTAAGGTTGAATGTCACATTAGTTTGTAAGATAGCCTTAACTTTAGGCTATTTACTGAATAATAAAAGTAATATTGAATTGTGTTTGGTTGACAATGCAACCACATATCAACATTTACATTTATCTTCTGCTTGGATAGTTCCATCTGTGCCACTGACTTAGTCTGGATTTAATTCCAGTTTGTCTACAAATAAAAAATATGTTGGATTCACGTCTCCATATCAACCAAAAATCAAAGTTAAAGAATAGGACTTAATCAAATCAAACTTTATTTAAAGTGCATTTAAAGTTTGATTTGATTTAGTCATATTCTATCACTTAGATTTTTGGTTGAGATGGAGACGTGAATCGATCCTATCAATTATTCATTTGTAGACAAACTGGAATTAAATCCAGACTAAGTCAGTGGCACAGATGGAAATATCCAAGCAGTAGATACATCTTCTTCATATGTTGATATTTGTTTGCGTTTACAACCAAACAAAATTCAATATCACTAAATATCATTACATTTGAAATCAACTAGAGCTTGAAACCCTAGGCCTATTTTATTGTCTATTGTTAGTTGAATTCTGGGTTGAATTGAAACAATAGCTGTTGATGACTTTGCAAATGCTATATAGGCCTAAATATAATCATTGATGAGTGATAAAGTACGGTCACATTTAATTTGCTCGGTTAAACCTACCCTTGGGAATGACTTCGATAGCAACAGTGAATCTATTTAGTTTTTAAGGGGAGATTTCTCAACAATCATGCTCACGATAGCACATTGGTAATAGTCAGTGACAAATATCAAAGCTAAACAGGGATGGGCTTGGTTAAAACCTTGCATGGGAGACCAAAGGGTAGCAGTTGATAAATCAATCCTCAAGTAGGAGATGCTGCTCAGACAATTTTTTTCTTCTTCTGATAGTGTATATAACGTAAAAAATTGGACGTTCTTTTAAAGGTACAAATTCAACATATTTTATACAAGGGATATCTATGTTAAAATTTGATTACCATGATGACATAATCCTGTGGTTGAAATTTCACCCTCAAATCCAATGTATTTTCCACGTAGATTCCACGTCACAATACGTTGCCAAATTACATTGAACCAAAGTTGATTCAACCAGTTTGTGCCCAGTGGGGTGTGTTTGCGAGACAGAGGTTAAGCAAGCACAGTGACGTCCGTCACAGTTGCATCCATAAAAACGTTTTAGAGGTTCAAATAGAGAAACGTAACGCGTAATTGCATTGTAACAAGTGAGTCAAGTAATACACTTATGGGAACTGAGAATGTCAGCTATTAAGAACAATGCCATTAAAGTGCTTAGAATAGTTTATTGCGTTAACAACAAATGCAAGGTGATTGTCGCTTTCAACAAAGCGCTTGGTTTGTATTTCAGCTCACGAGTTGCTTTAGTGATGACTCATATTAGTCCAGCTAGGGGCTCGTCAGTCGGTCCTCTGTGTTGCTGCAATATCCACACATTATATGACCCAGCATGCCCCTCTTCAGGAGCACACACACACTGTAAAGCCAACATCCTGCCTTGTCCTTACTAATAGTGTTGATCTAGCCCTAACGCTGAGAGCTAAGTTTACATGAGAGAGACAAGTCGTGCC